CAATTCAAAGTGTAAGAGTGTGTGTTTAGAGAGAGACACTAGGAAGAGACCTGAGAAAGAGACCTGAGAGAGAGCAGAGAAAGAGAACAGAGAAAGAGAACAGAGAGAGCAGAAAGAGACTAGGGAGAGACGAGAGAAAGAGACTACTGGTGCTTTGTGGGTCCCCCCTCCCCTCTCGGGTCACAGATCAGACTGGAGCACAGATGGAGTCTGCGTCCTTGGACCAAACTGGTTTTTTTATCAGCAAAAATGAACTGATTTTCACTTAAAGAACTTTACACCCGACTGGACACGAAATGGAGGAGTGGAGAGTGAGTTTGACCCCATAATGACATGACAACAGTAGCATGCACTGGGCCTGGTTCATGACAGAGGTGATGTGTTCTCAAAAAAGAGAGCCAAGTGAGAGTGACCAGAGGAAGAGACCAGAGTGTCCAGAGAGAAAGACAACTGAGACAGATCAGAGAGAGACCATAGAGGGAGAGTCCTCTGAACTAAATATTGCGGTGCAAGCAACGCAAAAAAGTTTTCTTCTGAATATAAATAAAGGTGACCGTTATGTTAGCTGTTTTATCAAGTTGGATTCGATGTTGGAGTATTCTTGGTTACTGCGTGAGATGCACACTGTAAACAAAGCACAATTACTTGCATAAATATGAAGAAAAAAACCCCAGCGAGTTCTAAAGGTGAACTGTGTTGGATGGGGAGAGGTCAAGCCTGATGTATCAACCAATCTCTAATCTCAAGTGAAACCCTGAAACTTGCACTTATGTTTCTGTTTTTGCTCCATGTGGATGAGATAATGTAACAACATTATCTTTCTCTTTGGTCTTTTTCTGGTCTCTCTCTGGTCTCAGTCCTGGTCTCAGTCCTGGTCTCTCTATGGTCTCAGTCCTGGTCTCTCTATGGTCTCAGTCCTGGACTTTCCTGAGTTTGTGCTGTCCTTGTGTTCTCTGTTCATTAAACTCAGTTCGATACCCGACGCTTTATTCAATATTTCCTGACAGAGTAAATGTGAGGCGTCCTTGTCCTGTGAGAGACTGTCGCTTCATCACACCTTCAAAATAGAACATTCATATGGTGACCTATGTCAAGGCAAGGCAAGTTTACTTGTATAGCACAATTCATACACATGGCAACTCAAAGTGCTGAACAGAATGAGACAGAGACAGTCACACAAGGACTTAAAATCATGAATAATACATTACATATATTAATGATAAAACCTCTCAATTGTACAGTAGCACAGCTAAACAGAACTGTTTGAACTTGGATTTGAACATTGTCAGAAAACAAGTTTGTCTCACATTTTCAGGAAGAATGTTGCAGATTTTAGCATAAATCTGAAATGCTGCCTCCCCATGTTTAGTTCTGACTGTGGGCACCATCAGGAGGCCAGTCCCTGTGCTCCTCAGAGTCTCAGCAGGAGACCAGTCCTCCTGCCTCCTCCAGTGCTCCTCAGAGTCCTCCTTGGTTTATTTGGCACTAACATGATGTACTTTAGTGTGAGGCCATGGAGAGACTTGAACACAAGCAAAGCTGAATAATAATCTATTCTCCGAGCCACAGGAAGCAGAGACCTGAGAACTGGACTAATGTGGTCGTACTTCCTGGTTCTATAGGATTTGAGCTGCAGTTGTGAAGGCTATAACACTGGGAACTTCACCACAAGACCCCATGTCGCCTCTTAGAGACACGTGCTGGTGTGTCAAAACAACTCAGCATTCAACCCGCCGTATGACCTAGTCTTTCTGCTGCTTACATATGGAGACACACGTCATACAGAGACAGTACTGAGTTTGGGCTGTTCTGCTCTTTGCTTTAGAAGGTTTCTTTGTGAAAAATAGGTTTAAAAAATGTTTGCATTGCTGGAGTTCATATACATATTGATAAATAAGATGTGGAACTTTAACAAAGGACAGAGACAGAGCAGGACAGAAAACAGAGAACAGAGACAGAGACAGAGAACAGAGGACAGAGGAAAGAGAACAGAGACAGAGACAGAGGACAGAGGACAGAAAACAGAGGACAGAGACAGAGACAGAGACAGAGGACAGAGGACAGAGGACAGAAGACAGAAGACAGAGGACAGAGGACAGAAGACAGAAGACAGAGGACAGAGACAGAGCAGGACAGAGGACAGAGAACAGAGGACAGAGAACAGAGGACAGAGAACAGAGACAGCAGGACAGGGACAGAGGACAGAGAACAGAGACAGCAGGACAGGGACAGAGGACAGGGACAGAGGACAGGGACAGAGGACAGAGACAGCAGGACAGAGGACAGAGACAGAGACAGCAGGACAGGGACAGAGGACAGAGAACAGAGACAGCAGGACAGGGACAGAGGACAGGGACAGAGGACAGGGACAGAGGACAGAGGACAGAGGACAGAAGACAGAAGACAGAAGACAGAGGACAGAGACAGAGCAGGACAGAGGACAGAGAACAGAGGACAGAGACAGAGGACAGAGGACAGAGACAGAGACAGAGGACAGAGAACAGAGGACAGAGAACAGAGACAGCAGGACAGGGACAGAGGACAGAGAACAGAGACAGCAGGACAGGGACAGAGGACAGGGACAGAGGACAGGGACAGAGGACAGAGACAGCAGGACAGAGGACAGAGACAGAGACAGAGGACAGAGGACAGAGGACAGAGAACAGAGGACAGAGGACAGAGACAGCAGGACAGAGGACAGAGACAGAGACAGAGGACAGAGGACAGAGACAGCAGGACAGAGGACAGAGACAGCAGGACAGAGGACAGAGACAGAGACAGAGGACAGAGAACAGAGGACAGAGACAGCAGGACAGAGGACAGAGACAGAGGACAGAGGACAGAGACAGCAGGACAGAGGACAGAGACAGAGGACAGAGAACAGAGGACAGAGAACAGAGACAGCAGGACAGGGACAGAGGACACATGGTTTGATGCTGGTGTAATGTGTGTCTCTGCGGTCTGTGTTTAACGAAGGAGAGCTGCTAATTTCACAGCAATTCTCCACCGTTCCACCTCAGCGAGTGTGAAGGCAGAGGGATTAAAGAGGGGAGAGGAAGGGGAGGAGGGGGGTGGGGGGTTGTGGGTGGGGGGGCCTAGACCTATGGAGGCTATAGAGACAGGACCAGCTCTGACAGGCGAGAGCTGGTGGGACTGAGTGAGTGTGACATCACCATCAGGGCTCGACATTAATGGTTGTCCGCTTGCCTGGGGCAACTAAAGATTTGGGACGGACAACTGCGATGTCTCAAGCTGCGTTCACACCGCCAACGCCTGAACGCAGCATCCATCCGCACTGGACGCACATTCACTAATTCTCAGCCGCGTCAGTTTAGAAAATCTGAAGCACTGCAGGCATCGATACCCACCGCCTCTGCTGGGCCTCAATGCCGCGTCTGTGTCGCTGGACAAACGCACACGTTTGGTCATTTTTTTGACATTTTTGATGATAAAGTAGATAAAATCTTAAACTGATTTTTTGTGTGTGACAAGCGAGCTGTCGATCACAGCCCAGACCACGCCCAACTCTCAGCCCCCCTTCTTGTACCCTGGTCCTCCAGATAAACTCTGGGCAAGTATCCTTTGACATTGGAAAGGTAAAAAGTTACCTTCCCTTCGGGCAAGTGGCCGACAAAACTTAATTAGCCTAAATGCAGGAGATAAAAAGTAAATATTTGTATTGGAGTAAATTGTTTATGAATTTTCCTTATTTGTCCGCCCCCTGGGTCATTTAGACCTTTTTATACCATAATTTAGTGTATTTTATTCTACTTTTAATCAATGTGGTGGGTAATATTGACCAGAGGATGACCAGGTCTACCCAGGACTAAACAGGACTGATCCAGGACCAAAACCAGGACTAAACCAGAACTAAACTTGGACTAAACCAGGTCTAAACTAGGTCTACGCCAGGACTAAAACAGGCCCAAACCAGGTCCAAACCAGGTCTAAACCAGGACTACACTAGGTCTAAACCAGGACTAAACCAGGTCCACACCTCTGTCTGCCCACTCCAAAATCGCATCTTATTTGATGACTCAAATGAAACGCTGAAACTTTATTCTCCGTTTTCGCCATAAAATTTACGTGGAATATTCGTCCAAAGGTTTTTAATTAATGCGTTTGAATAATTACCATTTTAATGAAGCCGTCTTTGTGGACGGCGTGGATTTGTGGGCGCGCTGACGGGAGATGGATGTCGCGCTCCGGATATTTACGGCTGCGGTCGCGGGTTGTTGTTCTTACTAATTTATGTGTCAATTCATCATTAGTAATTAATACACGGCGGATCCATTATAACGACTTAATTGCTGCTAACGAGATGCACGACACAACGAGGAGGGAAATAAAAGTGGGTAAAGGGTAAACGCAACAAAGGCCATAAAACTGGACTGAAGTTTGAGGAAAAAAGTTGGGATTTTAAAGCTGGGGCGTGTAACTTTAGTGTTGTTCTCCAAAACAGAAAACAGGCACAGAGGCCAGAGAGGGAGGAGAGAGAGAGCAGAGAAAGAGCAGAGAGAGACTAGAGAGAGACCAGCTAGAGATTAGAGAGAGACAAGAGAGAGAGACTAGAGAGAGCACAGAGAGACTAGAGAGAGATTAGAGAGACTAGCAAGAGACTAGAGCAAGACTAGAGCGAGGCTAGAGAGAGACCAGAGAGAGATTAGAGAGAGACACTAGAGAGACCAGAGAGACACTAGAGAGACCAGAGAGAGAGACCAGAATGAGAGAGAGAGAGAGAGACTGGAGAGACTTGTGCTGTGAGCTTATTTGCGGAATGAGTGTGGTCCTCTCTTTTCACTTTTCTGTCTGAAAAAGCTGATGGAGCTTTAACTTTCTGAGGCAAAGATGTGAAGACAAAACAAAGCTCTCTAAATGTGAATGTGCTTTATCTGCGTTCATCTGCGTCTGCCTCAGTTTACACTTTATTATGGGAGATTTCTGCTGCACAACACACAGCAGAGAGGAGATAAGGAGAGCAGGAGGTCTGAGGAGAGGGTCTAGAGAGGAGGAGGTCTGAGGAGAGTGTCCGGAGAGGAGGAGGTCTGAGGAGAGGTTCCAGAGAGGAGGAGGTCTGAGGAGAGGGTCCAGAGAGGAGGAGGTCTGAGGAGAGTGTCCAGAGAGGAGGAGGTCTGAGGAGAGGGTCCGGAGAGGAGGAGGTCTGAGGAGAGTGTCCGGAGAGGAGGAGGTCTGAGGAGAGTGTCCGGAGAGGAGGAGGTCTGAGGAGAGGGTCCGGAGAGGAGGAGGTCTGAGGAGAGTGTCCGGAGAGGAGGAGGTCTGAGGAGAGGGTCCGGAGAGGAGGAGGTCTGAGGAGAGGGTCCGGAGAGGAGGAGGTCTGAGGAGAGTGTCCGGAGAGGAGGAGGTCTGAGGAGAGGGTCCAGAGAGGAGGAGGTCTGAGGAGAGTGTCCGGAGAGGAGGAGGTCTGAGGAGAGTGTCCGGAGAGGAGGAGGTCTGAGGAGAGTGTCCGGAGAGGAGGAGGTCTGAGGAGAGGGTCCAGAGAGGAGGAGGTCTGAGGAGAGGTTCCAGAGAGGAGGAGGTCTGAGGAGAGGGTCCAGAGAGGAGGAGGTCTGAGGAGAGTGTCCAGAGAGGAGGAGGTCTGAGGAGAGGGTCCAGAGAGGAGGAGGTCTGAGGAGAGTGTCCGGAGAGGAGGAGGTCTGAGGAGAGGGTCCGGAGAGGAGGAGGTCTGAGGAGAGTGTCCGGAGAGGAGGAGGTCTGAGGAGAGTGTCCGGAGAGGAGGAGGTCTGAGGAGAGTGTCCGGAGAGGAGGAGGTCTGAGGAGAGGGTCCGGAGAGGAGGAGGTCTGAGGAGAGTGTCCGGAGAGGAGGAGGTCTGAGGAGAGGGTCCGGAGAGGAGGAGGTCTGAGGAGAGGGTCCGGAGAGGAGGAGGTCTGAGGAGAGTGTCCGGAGAGGAGGAGGTCTGAGGAGAGGGTCCGGAGAGGAGGAGGTCTGAGGAGAGGGTCCGGAGAGGAGGAGGTCTGAGGAGAGTGTCCGGAGAGGAGGAGGTCTGAGGAGAGGGTCCAGAGAGGAGGAGGTCTGAGGAGAGTGTCCGGAGAGGAGGAGGTCTGAGGAGAGTGTCCGGAGAGGAGGAGGTCTGAGGAGAGGGTCCGGAGAGGAGGAGGTCTGAGGAGAGTGTCCGGAGAGGAGGAGGTCTGAGGAGAGTGTCCGGAGAGGAGGAGGTCTGAGGAGAGGGTCCAGAGAGGAGAAGGACCATCTGGTCTCTCTCCCTGGTTTCTCTCTGATCTCTCTCTGGTCTCGCTCTCTGGTCTCGCTCTCTGGTCTCGCTCTCTGGTCTCGCTCTCTGGTCTCGCTCTCTGGTCTCGCTCTCTGGTCTCGCTCTCTGGTCTCGCTCTCTGGTCTCGCTCTCTGGTCTCGTTCTCTGGTCTCGCACTCTGGTCTCGCTCTCTGGTCTCGCACTCTGGTCTCGCACTCTGGTCTCGCTCTCTCTATGGTCTCTCTCTGGTCTTTGTCTGGTCTCTCTCTGGTCTCTCTCTGGTCTCGTCTGGTCTCGTTCTCTGGTCTCTCTCTGGTCTTGTTCTATCAATAAAATGGAGCCATCACATCTCGGCTCTCAGCCGTGTGACCTGCTTGTCCTTGTGTTGTGCCCTTGAGCCACACACACATTAACTGTGTGTGTGTGTGTGTGTGTGTGTCTGTGTGTGTGTCTGTGTGTGTGTTTTCAGTAACGGCTCATTCGCTCTCTCTCCTCTGTGTTTGATCCTCTTTTTCCTTTGAGCTTTTTGTGTCTGATTTATTGCGGACGTAATTTGTGTAGTCGTGCGCTGATGAGAAGTGTGTGTGTGTGTGTGTGACGTGTGTGCACTGTAAAATTAACAGAAAGATTGTGTAAACTTGTGAAATGACTTTAATTATATGTGATTATGATGAGATTTACTCATAACAATAAATTACAGAAATAAAAAGAGAAAAAACCTGTAAGACTCATTTAAAAATCATTTAGTTAAAGTGACATTCAAATATTGTTAAACAATGAATTATAATAATTATAATTTTGTACAGAACTTGAGAGCAAAAATCATACATCGATTGTGATGAGAATGAATGATAAATCTTTTGAATGCACAAAATGAGCTTTCACATCATTCAGAAATGGCCGTGTCTGATTGTCTTCATGACAATACTGTGAGACTCTTAAAACCACATTCTAGCTTTAAAACCACAAGGAACCCATTCACGAAATCAAGCAAACAATAATATAGAGCCCTGATGGAGAAACACTGAGACTGTAAAAGCCTCTGATCAGTGCGTCTCATGGACTGACATGGAAACGTTCACGTGTCTCTATAAAATAACCCAAATGCATATGTTCATCTGCCCGTAGCTCACTTGGTTTGGCATTGGTCTGCTGTGGGTTTGATTCTTCCAAGAGACCTGCTCCCCCTGATGTCTGCCGTTGTTGTGACCTTGGGCAAGACACTTAACCCCACTCTGCCTGAAGCCCCTTGTAACAAAAGTGAAATGGATTTCTTTTGTACAGTGTAGGATCATATTCAGTAACTTTCACCATTTTCTAATTCAAAATATATGTCATACATGTATATTTAATAGAAGTAAAACGTACTGGGGAAAAAATCAAATACAAGATGGTAAGGTTAAATTATCTATAAAGTTTTGAAGGCTTAACAGCTTACAGCGCAACCATAATTTTTATCCAAATGTTCTGGTAACAAAAGTTGCCAGAATTTAATGGTAAAATCAACAGATTTTTTACAGACACACACTCACGCATCAAACACGTCATACACACACACACACACACACACAGTTTGTGTTTGTTATTTGCCACATATACCAATTTTCTCTGTTCGAATGATAACAACAGAACCTCCTGACCCTGAGCAGAAGTCTCCATCCCCCAGTTCTCAAAAGCCCGTTTCCATTTAGCTTCTGTGACTGAGTCTGTGCTGGTAGTTGTTGATGATGCTCTGTTTCAGTCTCTGCCTCAGTCTCTGCCTCAGTCTCTGTTTCAGTCTCTGCCTCAGTCTCTGCCTCAGTCTCTGCTTCAGTCTCTGCTTCAGTCTCTGCCTCAGTCTCTGCTTCAGTGTCTGCTTCAGTCTCTGCTTCAGTCTCTGCTTCAGTCTCTGCCTCAGTCTCTGCTTCAGTGTCTGCTTCAGTCTCTGTTTCAGTCTCTGCTTCAGTCTCTGCTTCAGTCTCTGCCTCACCCCTCTTTTCTCTCTCTCTCCTCTCTAGGCTTCTCTAACCCTCTCCTCACAGCTTCTCACCCCTCTCTCTCCTCTCTCCCCTCCAGGCTGCAGTCCTTCCTTCACCTCTTTCCTCACCCCTCTCCGCTTTCTCCTCACCTTTCTCTCCTCTCTCTCTCATCCAGGCTTCAGGCTCTGCTCCACCCCTCTCCTCACTCTCCCCTCACCCCTCTCCTCACTCTCTCCTCACCCCTCTCTCCTCCAGGCTTCCGGCTCTGCTTCACCCCTCTCCTCACCATCTCCTCGCCCCACTCCACACCATGTCCTCACTCCACTCCCCACCCTCTCCTCACCCCTCTCACCCCTCTCACCCCTCTCTCCTCTCTTTCCTCCAGGCTTCAGGCTCTGAGGAAAGAGAAGTCCCGGGACGCGGCGCGCTCTCGTCGGGGGAAGGAGAACTTTGAGTTTTATGAATTGGCCAAAATGCTTCCGCTGCCTGGAGCCATCACCTCGCAGCTGGACAAGGCCTCCATCATCCGCCTCACCATCAGCTACCTGAAGATGAGGGACTTCGCCAACCAGGGAGATCCCCCCTGGAACCTGCGCATGGAGGGCCCGCCCCCCAACACGTCCGTCAAAGGTAAGCCCCGCCCATACGTAAAGCTGGGGTCCCTAACTTTGGTTTCATCAATGACGTATGTTGTTTGTCCGACAGAAATAAAAAGTATAATGATGTGAACAAATCAAACCAAAATTTTCATCTCACCAGAAACATTCCCTCTGAGTCTCTATTTGACTGTTTGGGCTGAGAGCTGATTGGCTGACTCAGGGTGGTCCTCTCTTTGAAGCTAAAGATGTCAGAGGCCAGAAATACATGCTAACCCAAACCTTCTCGCCCTGGTCACTTTCTGGTCTCTCTCTGGTCTCTGTCTCGGCTCTCTCTCTCTGATCGATTTCTGGTCTCTCTCTCTGGTCTCTCTCGGCTCTCTTTCTCTGGTCTCTGGTCTCTCTCTCTGGTCTCTCCCTCAGCTCTCGCTCTGGTCTCTGTCTCGGCTCTCTCTCTAGTCACTTTCTGGTCTCTGGTCTCTCTCTGCTCTCTCTCTCTCTCTCTGCTTTCTATCAGCTCTCTCTCTGATCTCTTTCTCTGGTCTCTGGTCTCTCTCTGCTCTCTCTCTCTCTCTCTCTCTCTCGGTTTTCTATCAGCTCTTTCTCTGATCTCTTTCTCTGGTCTCTGGTCTCTCTCTCTGGTCTCTCCCTCAGCTCTCTCTCTGGTCTCTGTCTCGGCTCTCTCTCTAGTCACTTTCTGGTCTCTCTCTCTGGTCTCTGGTCTCTCTCTTGATTCTCTCTCTGGTCTCTTTCTTGGCTCTCTTTCTCTGACCAATGATGATACATGATGTCTGCCAGAAGCAACCGTTTTAGAACCAGGAACCAGGAATACGTGGGTTTTATTACACAAAGTCACGTACCCCAGCTTTAAGATAATGATCATCCAGAAACCTATCGATACTAAAACTACTAAAACCAAGATATAACAATTAACAATGAAATGTTAAGTGATTTTCTAGAAGGAAGGTGTCCCATCCAATCAGGAGCGAGTGTTTTGGTTTCTTCAAAAACTTTTCAAACTTAAGCCTGGTCCTCCTATTCGGACCGTTTCTATTTCTGTTTTTTAATCTGTTGCAAAGAAATGGATTTGATCAATTATTCATGATTACGATATTGTAGTGGTTATATCTCTTTGCTCTCAACTTTATACCTAGTTTAGTCCTGCCTTAGTCCTGATCTAGACCTGCTTTAGACCTGCTCTAGTCCTGTTTTAGTCCTGCTTCAGCCCTAGTTTGGTCCTAATATAGGTCTTCTTTAGTCCTGCTTTAGTCCTGATTTAGTCCAGCATTAGACCTGCTTTAGACTTGCTTTCGCTCTAGTTTAGTCCTGCCTCTGCCCTGCTTTAGTCCTGCTTTAGTCCTGCTTTAGACCTGGTTTAGTCCTGTCTCAGTCCTGGTTCAGACTCTCCTCACCTCTGCTGTTGTACCAGATGTTCTTATTGTCACAGGTCTTTGAAGACGCACATGAATTTTAATGAAGTGTTTTCTGTGTTTCGCTCTCGTCAAAATAAATCACATTTTGTCCTGAGACGGAGCAGATGTTCAGAAGGAAGTCACTGAGACTGGGCTCTACAGACCATAGGGAGACCAGAGACAGACCAGAGTGGGACCAGAGGAAGGCTAGCGGGAGACCAGAGAGGGACCAGAGAGAGACTAGAGAGAGACCAGAGAATGTCCAGAAAGAGAGACAAGAGGGAGACAAGAGGGAGCCTGGAGAGAGAGGTTGGAGAGAGACCAGAGGGAGAGAGCAGAGCGAGAGAGCAGAGCGAGAGAGCAGAGCGAGAGACCAGAGTGAGAGAGCAGAGCGAGAGAGCAGAGCGAGAGACCAGAGTGAGAGAGCAGAGCGAGAGAGCAGAGTGAGAGACAGAGAAAGAGACCAGAGAGATAGACCAGAGAAAGACCAGAGTGGGACCAGAGGGAGACCAGAGAGTGGCCAGAGAGGAACCAAAGGGACACCAGAAAGAGGCCTGAGAGAGACCAGGGAGACAAGAAGGAGCCTAGAGAGAGACTGGAGAGAGACTATGGGAGGCAAGAGGAAGACCATACAGAGAGACCGGAGAGAGAGACCGGAGAGAGAGACCGGAGAGAGACCAGAGAGAGACAAGAGGGAGACAAGAGGGAGACAAGATGGAGACAAGATGGAGACAAGATGGAGACAAGATGGAGACAAGAGGGAGACAAGAGGGAGACAAGAGGGAGACCAGAGAGAGACAAGAGGGAGACAAGCAAAAGGGAGACAAGATGGAGACAAGAGGGAGACAAGAGGGAGACAAGCAAAAGGGAGACAAGAGGGAGACAAGAGGGAGACCAGAGAGAGACAAGAGGGAGACAAGCAAAAGGGAGACAAGAGGGAGACAAGCAAAAGGGAGACAAGAGGGAGACAAGAGGGAGACAAGAGGGAGACCAAAGAGAGAGCAGAGAGATTCCAGGACACTCTACATTCAACAACATTTATGACAGTGGTTATCTGCCCCTTATAGACCAATGGCTCCTATGTGGTTGTTACTGCATTTCCTGTGTATTTGAATGGTTTAATTCTCTGATTGTTGGTGAATCGACAGCTTTGTAAAGTCCTACTGTTGTCTGTAGCAGCCACACTACTACTGTGGCTTTTAAATTTAGAATTAAACTGAATTCAATTCAGTGTCGTGGTCTGGAGGTTTGATGAGGTCACTGATCTAAAAGCTAAAAATGAATGAATGAATTCATTTAAAATATTGACTCGGAAGTGTGTGTGTGTGTGTGTGTGAGGAGACTGTGTATGTGTGCTGTGTTTGTGTGTGTGTGTGTGTGTGTGAGGAGACTGTGTATGTGTTCTGTGTTTGTGTGTGTCTGTGTGTGTGCGTGTATACGTGGGTTTTGGGTGTGTGAGGAGATGTTGTCCTCATGGCCGTATGGCAGAGTGCGGTGGCATTTGGAGCTTGTTTGTGCGTCGCATGAATAATGAATGAGCAGGTGTGATACTCAGACAGCACAGTGACAGGAGTGTGTGTGTCTGTCAGTGTGTGTGTGTGTGTGTGTGTGTGTGTGTGAGAGTGTGTGTGTCTGTCTGTGTGTGTGCGTGTGGAGACAGAGAGAACAATGTCAGATGTCCAGGAACCGGATGGTGTCTGTAGTTGGGAAAATGTGCTTCCATGGGAAAGAAGTCATTTTTGAAAGACAATTAGGAGATGTCCTAAATTAATTGACTATCGTGATTAGATTCACAAAGCCAGGGAGAGAACAAACAGAGACCAGAGAGCGAAAGAGAGGGGAGCAGGGAGCGTCCAAAGAGAATGAACAGAGAGATACCAGAGAAAGAGGAGAGAGAGACCAGAGAGAACGAACATTATATATAGAGAGACCAGAGACTAGACTAGACTAGATAGAGAGACCAGATAGAGACTGGAGAGAGACTGGAGAGAGAGAGCAGAGAGACCAGCAAGGCTCACACTATGTCAGTCCACTCCTAATTTTCGGTCTTACAAACACAACTGTAGTGGTTTGTAAGTTATAATGAGGAACCAAGCAGTTAAGGTGAAATCTGTTTGTTTGATTCGTTCCATGCAGTGGTCATCTCGCTCCCTTTGAACCAATGGCTTTATGTGTTTCCTGTGCTTGTAAAGTTCTCTGAGACGACTGCTGTGATTTAGCGCAAACAAAAACAAGTTGAATTGAATTGAAATCTGTCTGTGAGCTGTATGTTGCTCTCACTGACTGATTCTCACAAACATACGGTTCTGTTCTCAAATCCGTGTTCGCTGACGGAGCTAAATAGGATGACGATGATGCACAACAACGACGTGGAAACGCACAAACACACAGAAACAAACAGAATCGGAGATGGCGTTCCTAAAATAGCACGGCGGTGGCGTTGTTGGCGTCTGTGGCGGTGATCCATGCGAGTGCTCCGACTCCTGGACAGGTTTATGGCCCCAAGGCGGCTCGGGTAATGCTCCAGTCTATTATACTGAGAGAGGGGGGGGAGGAGGGGGGAGGGGGAGTAGGGGAGAGATGGAGGAGAGAGTGTGCGTTCACGTGGGGTTACCAGCAGACACAAGTTAGCATGGGGACACGACACACCGCTTCAGCTTCTACACCATACCTTAATATCTTGTTGAACTCTCTTTTGCGAATATTTTGGGGCCTGATTTACAGACTGTAAACAGATGGACCATGCTAACCAGCTAACTCAATGAAGCCCAAAAGGGAAGTGCTCATGGTGAAGTTTGGTTCCTCTCTCTGGCTCCTATTGACTTACATATAAAAGTAAACTCCTCTAGCTCAGTAATGTTTGTGTCGGAGTCAGCATTTTGGGCTTAAATGTGTGGATTAGAGCTCTCTGTGATCCTGGTGTTCATATGTGATATTATTTTTGTAAATAAATTATTAGGCTGTAGATCCAGGACTGAGGCTGTAGATCCAGGGCTTAGAATCAGAATCAGAATCAGAGCAGAATCATTTTTATTAGGCTGTAGACCCAGGGTTGAGGCTGTAGACCCAGGACTGAGGCTGTAAACCCAGGGTTGAGGCTGTAGACCCAGGACTGAGGTTGTAGACCCAGGGTTGAGGCTGTAGACCCAGAACTGAGGCTGTAGACTGAGGCAATTCATGGTGGGGTGTTGTGTTTGCCAGTGATTATCAGAGTCATTAGAGCTGACGATCGCCTTCTGTCTTTGAGGCTTAAGCATCACTCAGTCTGTCACAACAACAGCACAGTCATATCTGCAGGAGATTTCTGTTATTTCCGAGACAGAGAAGGAGAGACCAGGGAGAGACCAGAGAGAGACTAAAGAGAGACTTGAAAGAGACTAGAGAGAGAGAGAGACCACAGAGAGACCAGAGAAAGTCCGGAGAGAGATTAGAGAGAGACCAGAAAGAGACTAGAAAGAGACTAGAGAGAGCAGAGAGAGAAAGCAGAAAGAGAGACCAGAGAGAGATCAGAGAGAGACCACAGAGAGAGATCAGAGAGAGACCAGAGAGAGACCACAGAGAGAGATCAGAGAGAGACCACAGAGAGAGACTAGAGAGAGATCAGAGAGAGACCAGAGAGAGACTAGAGAGAGATCAGAGAGAGACCAGAGAGAGACCACAGAGAGAGACTAGAGAGAGACCAGAAAGAGACTAGAGAGAGACCAGAGAGAGAAAGCAGAAAGAGAGACCAGTGAGAGTCAAGAGAGAGACCAGAGAGAGACCACAGCGAGAGACCAAAGAGAGATCAGAGGGAGACCAATGAGGGAGACCAATGAGAGACCAGTGAGAGACCAGAGAGAGACCAGGGAGGGACCAGATACCAGCTTTGTTAGTGCAGTTAATGAAAATGTTGGTGATGAAAGGCAGTGAAGTGGTGGTCACTGCTCTGTGTATGTGCTTCTCTCTGGCTTTGATTCATTTGGCCGCACTCAGCTTCAAAGTATCTGTTTGTGCTTTTAAATAAAGAGAATCAAATCACTTGAAAGGGTAAAGAGCAGGTGAGAGGACACAAAGCTACCATCCACCTCAGGACTGAGGCTGTAGATCCAGGACTGAGGCTGTAGACCTAGGACTGAGGCTGTAGACCCAGGACTGAGGCTGTAGACCCAGGACTGAGGCTGTAGACCCAGGACTGAGGCTGTAGATCCAGGACTGAGGCTGTAGACCCAGGACTGAGGCTGTAGATCCAGGACTGAGGCTGTAGACCCAGGACTGAGGCTGTAGACCCAGGACTGAGGCTGTAGACCCAGGACCTTCCAGACAATGTGTATCTAAACCCCCCACCTACTGCAGGTTTACTTATCGCTGGATCATAATTCATTTTTGGATCTGATTTACAGAAACATTCTTACTTTTATTTACTTCTATTTGTCTTTTATCACAGAGCGATGCAGTGGGAGATACGGCAGCTCCGATAACACAAAGTTTATTGTTGTGGGAAAAGAAAGAACATTATAGAAGCTTTAGACTTTTTATCCTCCAATAACAACAGGGAGGAGTTCATTTTGACTGTAACAGATTATAGAGGACAGAGGACAGAGGAGAGAGGAGAAAGGACTGAGGAGAGAGGAGAAAGGACTGAGGAGAGAGGACTGAGGAGAGAGGACGGAGGGGAAAGGACAGGGGAGAGCGTGAGAGATATTCCATTGACCAGAGAGAGAGAGGAAGAAAAAGAAACCAGAGAGATCCAAGAGGCGATAGGCGAGAGAGAGGCCAGAGAGAGGCCAGAGAGAGGCCAGAGAGAGACCAGAGAGAGACCAGAGAGAGACCCGAGAGAGAGACCCGAGAGAGAGACCCGAGAGAGACCCGAGAGAGACCCGAGAGAGACCAGAGAGAGACTCGAGAGAGAGACCCGAGAGAGAGACCCGAGAGAGACCCGAGAGAGACCCGAGAGAGACCCGAGAGAGACCAGAGAAAGACCAGAGAGAGACCATTGAGAGACCAGAGAGAAACCAGAGAGAGACCAGAGAGAGACCAGAGAGAGACCAGAGAGAGAACAGAGAGAGACCAGAGAGAGAACAGAGAGAGACCCGAGAGAGAGACCCGGGAGAGAGACCCGAGAGAGAGACCCGAGAGAGAGACCCGAGAGAGACCCGAGAGAGACCCGAGAGAGACCCGAGAGAGACCAGAGGATAAAGAACCTGAGAGGACTCCAACTCTCATATGTGATAAAGAGAAACACTACTGAGAACTGGGGGATGGAGACATGTGTCTTTTGTGTTAGAAAAAGCCCTGTAAGTCGCTTTTTGACCCTTTGGGCTGAGAGCTGATTGGCTGCATGAGGGCTGTCCTCTGTTTATCTCTAGTTTGAAAAAGCAAATCTAAAGATGTGACAGGCTAGAAACACATTCTTGTGATAGAAGCAACTGTTTTAGTGTCAGGAACTAGTTTACTGTGGTTGGAAATGTACGTAACCCAGCTTTAATTCCTAGCCTCTGTTTGTAACAGCCTCCTCCGCAGATGTAAATCCAAAGCACCATAGCTCCCATGATGCTTTGCTGCGGCGGTGTTAGCATTGCCGCGTCGCTAATCGATTAGCGCTGACACGAGTGCGCATTAGGCTCAGTGCTCCGAGCAGAGAGAGGCCCTCTGGGAAATGTGGTCCAGGATTAGTGTAGTCCAAGGAACACGGCTTGTAACATGAGAAGGACACAGAAATAACATGCTAACAACACGCTAAGGACACGCTAACAGAGAGTACAGAGGAGAGAGGACAGAGGAGAGAGGAGAGAGGACAGAGGAGAGAGGAGAGAGGACAGAGGACAGAGGAGAGAGGACAGAGGACAGAGGAGAGAGGACAGAGGAGAGAGGACAGAGGACAGAGGAGAGAGGACAGAGGACAGAGGACAGAGGAGAGAGGACAGAGGACAGAGGACAGAGGAGAGAGGACAGAGGACAGAGGAGAGAGGACAGAGGAGAGAGGACAGAGGACAGAGGAGAGAGGACAGAGGACAGAGGACAGAGGAGAGAGGACAGAGGACAGAGGAGAGAGGACAGAGGACAGAGGAGAGAGGACAGAGGACAGAGGACAGAGGAGAGAGGACAGAGGACAGAGGAGAGAGGACAGAGGAGAGAGGACAGAGGAGAGAGGACAGAGGACAGAGGAGAGAGGACAGAGGAGAGAGGACAGAGGACAGAGGACAGAGGAGAGAGGACAGAGGACAGAGGACAGAGGAGAGAGGACAGAGGACAGAGGAGAGAGGACAGAGGACAGAGGACAGAGGAGAGAGGACAGAGGACAGAGGAGAGAGGACAGAGGAGAGAGGACAGAGGAGAGAGGACAGAGGAGAGAGGACAGAGGACAAGAGAATGTATATGAATAGTTAAAGGAGACTTATTATTATTATTATTGTTGTTGTTGTTATTATTATTATTATTATTATTATAATCATCATAATGTATTGGTTTTATACAGGCCTTCTCTGGACACTCAAAGACGCTTCACAACATTATTCGTTCACTCCAAACACAAACTACTATTGGAGCCACAGCTGCCCTGGGACACACTGACAGAAGCGAACCAACCAGTCTGGCTCGGCCCCTCCGACCACCACCAACCATTCACACTCACCGGATTATGATGTGGGTGAAGTGTCTTGCATAAGTACACAACCACACCCATGGTGTTCCCATCACAGTACTAACCAGGCCCTGCCCTGCTTAGCTTCAGAGGTCTGAGGGGATCTGGTTTTCACCTGCAGGTGGCGCCAGCCTCCCACATCTATTCCAACATTGTTCCCACACACACTGCAGAAGTTTAAAGCTTCACCCTGTGATCACAACCTGGTCCCCTGTAACTCACAGAACGCTCTGTGCAGAATTTGTCTTTGACCTCTTTCTCTGGTCTCTCTCTCTCTGATCTGTCGTTTGATTTGTTCACATTTTACTTAGATGACTTTCTTTTTGGGACAAACTAAAGCTGTAATTTATGAAACCCAAAGTTACGCCCCCCAGCTTTAAAGCAGTCCAGTGTGAGCGTCCAGAGCAGACTTCTCTTCCTCCTCATCCTGTATTTGATAAAGTGTTCTCCACTGGTTCATAAACCCGTTGACATTGAGACGTCGGGACAGTTTTAAAGCTTCCAGGAAACGACCAATGAAATCACAGAGAGATCCGCCGCCAAAAAGACCTGTGTCTGTGCCAACGTCTACATTCAGGACAGAGGAGAGAGAGAGAGAGAGGACAGAGGAGAGAGAGAGGACAGAGGAGAGAAGAGAGAGGACAGAGGAGAGAAGAGAGAGAGGACAGAGGAGAGAAGAGAGAGGACAGAGGAGAGAGAGAGGACAGGGGAGAGAAGAGAGAGAAGAGAGAGGACAGATGAGAGAGGAGAGAGGACAGAGGAGAGAGGAGAGAGGACGGAGGAGAGAAGAGAGAGAGGAGAGAGGAGAGAAGAGAGAAGAGAGAGGACAGAGGAGAGAAGAGAGAGAGGACAGAGGAGAGAGAGAGGACAGAGGAGAGAAGAGAGAGAGGACAGAGGAGAGAAGAGAGAGAGGACAGAGGAGAGAAGAGAGAGAGGACAGAGGAGAGACGAGAGAGGACAGAGGAGAGAGAGAGGACAGAGGAGAGAAGAGAGAGAAGAGAGAGGACAGATGAGAGAGAGAGGACAGAGGAGAGAAGAGAGAGAAGAGAGAGGACAGATGAGAGAGGAGAGATAGGACAGAGGAGAGAAGAGAGAGAGGACAGAGGAGAGAAGAGAGAGAGGACAGAGGAGAGAGAGAGGACAGAGGAGAGAAGAGAGAGAGGACAGAGGAGAGAAGAGAGAGAGGACAGATGAGAGAGAGAGGACAGAGGAGAGAAGAGAGAGAAGAGAGAGGACAGATGAGAGAGAGAGGACAGAGGAGAGAAGAGAGAGAGGACAGAGGAGAGAAGAGAGAGAGGACAGAGGAGAGAGAGAGGACAGAGGAGAGAAGAGAGAGAGGACTGAGTGGAGAGAGGACAGAGGAGAGAAGAGAGAGAGGACTGAGTGGAGAGAGGACAGAGGAGAGAAGAGAGAGAGGACAGAGGAGAGAGAGAGGACAGAGGAGAGAAGAGAGAGAGGACAGAGGAGAGAGAGAGGACAGAGGAGAGAAGAGAGAGAGTACAGAGGAGAGAGAGAGGACTGAGTGGAGAGAGGACAGAGGTGAAACAGGAGAGAGGACAGGACAGAGGAGAGAGTTCTACAGCAGGTCTACAGTTGGTCTACAGCAGGTCTAAACAGGTTTAAAGCAGGTCTAAAACAGGTCTGAATAAGGTCCATTAAAGATCGTCCAATCAGAACGCTACAATACAGAGTCTCATTAAACCCACTCACGCTTCGTTAGTGAAGATTTAAACGAACGACTGAGAGAAACTAGAGCAGAGGAAACGCATTTATAAAGATCTGGTTCAGTCCTGGCTCAGACCTGGTTCAGACCTGGTTCAGTCCTGTCTCAGACCTGGTTCAGCCCTGGCTCAGACCTGGTTCAGTCCTGGCTCAGACCTGGTTCAGACCTGGTTCAGCCCTGGCTCAGACCTGGTTCAGTCCTGTCTCAGACCTGGTTCAGACCTGGTTCAGTCCTGGCTCAGACCTGGTTCAGACCTGGTTCAGTCCTGTCTCAGACCTGGTTCAGCCCTGGTTCAGACCTGGCTCAGACTTGGTATAGATAAAATAAATGCTTATTTGTCTGTATTTTGTCTCAAACCTGAGCTTGAGAACACTCAGTTTGGATGTTTTGTTTTAAATGTGAAAATCTGATTTTGTTTGTTTTTAACTTTGGGACAAAAATAATTCCTGATTTGAGAGTGTGGGGGTCTAAACACAGCTGCAGGTCTGTGTTGGACTTGTTTTATTGCATGGTACAAAGAGAATATGGCTTTCAAAGTGAACAGCTAACAGTGCTAATGTTGCTAACCTGTCTAACCTGGGTCTGACCTGCCGACTCTTGTCTTGTGCCATGTTGTCTGTGCACTAGGCTGATCTGTCTCCTCCTCCACCTCCCCCTGCTGTCCTTCCCACCTCCTCCTGAGTTCTGCAGACCTCCTCCTCTATCCTTTTCAACCAACCTCTCCCTGCTGTCCTTTCCACCTCCACCTTTTAATTGTAATAATCTCCTCAAGATTTCATTTCTTCATCCCACTCACCTCCTTCTCTCCTCTCGTCTACTCCCCGCTCCCACCTCCTTCTTCTTATCCTGTCCAGCTCCTCCTCATCTCTTCTGTCCCACTCATATCCTCCAACTCCCTGTCTCTCCCCTTCTGTCTCCCTTCTCTCCTCCTCTGTCTGCCTCCCACTATCCTCTCCTCCTTTTCTTTTCCTTTCACCTCCTCCTATTCTTACCCGTCCACCTCCCCCTTATCCTCTTTTGTACTCCCCTCTTGTCCCCCACCGACCTCGTATAATATTATGTCCACTTCTCCCTCACTCCTCACCTGGCCTCTTCCTCACCTCACCTGCCCACCTCCCCCTCCCCTCTCTCCTCTTCAGTCCACCTCCCACTCGTCTCCTCATCCTATCCTCCTGTCTATTCCATATCTCCCTTATCCTCCCCCCGTCTCCTCCTCTATAGGAGTGTAGTGCCTGCCGGTCTCCTCACCTCTCCTCTTCTTCCTCCCCTCTTTAGCAGTGTAGTGCTTGCCTCTCTCCTTCTCCTTACCTCTCCTTCCCTCACATCCCCCCTCCTCCCCTCTTTAGCAGTGTCAATCTTACCTCTCTCCTCCTCCTCCCCTCACCTCCCCCCTCTTTAGCAGTGCAATGATTGCCTATCTCCTCCTCACCTCTCCTCCCCTCCTCACTTCCCTCCTCCCCTCCCCACACCCCCTCCTCTCCCCTTTAGCAGTAAAGTGCTTGGCTAAATCCTCACCCCTCCTCCCTCCTCCTCACCTCTCCTCCTCCTCCTCCTCACCTCTCCTCCTCCTCCCCCTCACCCCCCTCTTTAGCAGTCGTGCTTGCTTGTCTCCTCACCTCTCCTCTTCCTCCCGTCCTCCCCCCTTGCCTCCCCTCTTTAGCAGCGTAGTGCTTGCCTGTGTCTCCTCTTCACCTCTCCTCCTCCTCCCCTCCTCACTCTCCTCCCCCTCTTTAGCAGTGTTGTGCTTGCCAGTCTCACCTGTCTCGTGTCTCTGTCTCTCTCTCTCTCTCCTGTCCTGGTGTCCTTCGTGTCTCACCTGGTGTTTGTGGTTGAAGCCATCGGATCTCAGCGGCGCCGGAACCAGAGCGTCGTGGCGTCCGACATTTTCGAGCCGCACCTGGGCAGCCACATCCTGCAGGTAAGACACACACGCACACAAACACACACACGCACATGCTGTTTGTGTGTCTGCTTGGGAGTTGGGAGGTGGACGGGGGAGGAGAGAAGGGAGACAGAAAAGGACAGTGGGAGGTGGACAGGGAGGAGAGAAGGGAGACGGAAGAGGACGGGGAAAGAGAGAAGGGAGACAGAAGAGGACAGTGGGAGGTGGACGGGGGAGGAGAGAAGGGAGACAGAGAAGGAGTGATAGGGAGGTGGACAGGAGAGACAGGGATATGGAAGGGGGAGGAAAGAAGGGCGACAGAAGAGGAGAGATAGGGAAAGGGACTGGGGAGGAGAGAAGGGAGACCGAGGAGGAGAGATAGGGAGGTGAACAGGAGAGAAAGGGAGGTGGACGAGGGACAGAGGAGGAGAGACAGGGAGGTGGAAGAGGTGGAAGGGGGTGGAAAGAAGGGAGACAGGGAGCAGAGAAGGGAGACATAAGAGGAGAGATAGGGCGGTGGATGGGGGAGGAAAGAAGGGAGACAGAAGAAGAGAGATAGGGGGTGGACAGGAGGGACAGGGAGGTAGACAGGGGAGGAGAGATAGGGAGGTGGACAGGAGAGACAGGGAGGTGGAAGGGGGAGGAAAGAAGGGAGACAGAAGGGGAGAGATAGGGGGTGGACAGGAGAGACAGGGAGGTGGACGAGGAGACAGAAGAGCAGCGACAGGGAGGTGGACAGAATAGGACAGCCCGGGTGTATTTAAGCTGCAGTACCGTGGGTGGCCTCTAGACCATGTGGAGGCAGATTTCATCAGCAACACTCTGTACATTGTATCACACATCTATGCAACGTCTCCCTGTGTCTTTAGCGTGATGCTAACATGACGCTAACATGTCTCTGCTGCTAATTGAGGCTCGTTAATCTGCTGCTAATTGATTGTGAGGATGTGACATTTGCGTCGGTGATGGATGGGGTCGGAGCAGGTTTGATAAAGACGCAGAGGCTGAACTTTAGATTCAGAAAGAGCACACGGATCTCATCATTAGCAGCTCTGGGATTAGAACAAAGCAGAGTGGATTATAGCCTCATGTGTGATGTCTGTGTCACTGAGTGGGATTAGCAGTCTGTGTTTGTGGCTTCGTCTCAGATATATGTCTTTATTGTGTGTTAAATACCAACAAAATCAGATGAAAACTATATCATTATAAACTGACATACATATTTAGGCTCCAACAACAGATCAGAGAACCAAACAGTTCAGGACTGAGGCAGTATAGATTCAGGACTGAGGCTGTAGATCCAGGGGACTAAGGCTGTAGGACCAGGACTGAGGCTGTAGATCCAGGACTGAGGCTGTAGATCAGGACTGAGGCTGTAGACCCAGCTTGGATCTACAGGATCTGTTGCCCAAATCCAACTGAAGTGGCTCTCTTACTAAGAATATGCATTAACTGTTATTATTTGACACACAGACCCCTGCAGTGGTACTTGGAGATTACTGCTTGATATGAGATAATCTCTGATCCCCGAGGCCTGGGCACTGATGGTGGCATGAAAGCTAGATGCTGATTAATGCGTTTGCCTGGAGAGGTCTCCAGAGGAGAAGAGGGGGAGGCGGTGTGGGGGGGGGAGCAGATATAAGAGCTGTTTTGATTGGTCACAACAAGTATGAATATGGTCTGCTTCAGTCTCATGTCTGGTCTCTTGTTTGGTCTCTGGTCTGGTCTCTGGTTTAGTCTCTGGTCTGGTCTCTGCTTCAGTGTCTGGTCTGGTCTCTGCTTCGGTCTCTGGTCTGGTCTCTTCTTCGGCCTCTGGTCTGGTCTCAAAGCAGATAGAAGTGGGCACAGCACATCTGAATGTAGTCTCTGGTCTGGTCTCTTCTTTGGTCTCTGGTCTGGTCTCTGATCTTTGCTTCAGTCTCTGGTCTAGTCTCTGCTTCAGTCTCTGGTCTGGTCTTTGCTTTAGTCTCTGGTCTGGTGTCTGAAAGAAGAGTTATTTGAACTGGACACAACCTCTGTGTCTGAATGAAGTCTCTGGTCTTGTATCTGGTCTGGTCTCTAGTTGGTCTCTGGTTTGTCTCTGGTCTGGTCTCTGCTTCAGTCTGTTGTCTGGTCTCTTCTTCAGTCTCTGGTCGGGTCTCTGGTCTAGTCTCTGGTCTCTAGTCTCAGGTAGAAGTCCTGTAATAACTAGTCCTTCATACCAAACACTCGTAGCGATAACGTTTGATTGTGGTCCGTCTGTCGAGGCTCTTCATCTTCAAACAATACCTCGATCTCTCGTCTCTTGTTCTTGTTGCGACCTGCTCCCACTTAAAACCAGCTCCACGTTTAGAGCGGTCTGGAACCCTGCCAGACGGACGCCATCTGTGAGAGTCTGATGAAAAGGAAACTGCAGCCTTTTGTCTTCAGACTTTCATTCACAGCTCTAACTCAAAGATAAAGTCGAGATTCGAGTTTAAAGACAACACAACCTGCTTTTGTCGACAGGAGAGTTTTGATCTACAGCACCTCTTCTATTGTATTATTGTTAGTCTCTCTCTGGTCTCCTCTCTGGTCTCTCTCTCTCTAGTCTCCTCTCAGGTCTCCTCTCAGGTCTTCTCTCTGGTCTCTCTCTGGTCTCTCTCTGGTCTCTCTCTTTGCTCTCTCTCTCTGGTCTTCTCTCTGGTCTCTGATCTGGTCTCTGGACTGTCATCTCGTCTGTTCTCTGGTCTGATCTCTGTCTGGTCTAGTCTGGTCTCTGGTCTGGTCTCTGTTCTCTGGTCTCTGGTCTGGTCTCTGGTCTGGTCTCTGTTCTCTGGTCTCTGGTCTGGTCCAAAGTCTCTGGTCCCTGGTCCCTGGTCTCTGATCTGGCCTTTGGTGTCTGGTCTCAGGTCTGGTCTGGTCTCTCGTCTCTAGTCTCTGGTCTGTTCTCTGGTCTCTGGTCTTTGGTCTCTAGTCTCTGGTCTGGTCTGGCCTGGTCTCTGGTCTTGTCTGGTCTCTAGTTTCTAGTCTCTGGTCTCTTGTCTACATTAGGTCCAGACTTTAGATTCTGAACTCGTCTCAAGGTCAAGCTCTCGTTCTCTTCTGCTGCACATTGGGCGAGCAAGGGGGTCAGCGGTCGGATACAGTCCCACTGGACCCAAGACTGACAGATCAGACTAGACCAGAGACCAGACTCAACCAGACTAGACCAGACCAGACTGGGCCAGACTAGCGACCATACCAGAGTCCAGACAAGACCTGGTGTAGACCAGACTGTACATTACCTGCAGGCGAAAGCCAGATCCCTCAGAAATGTAAGGCTAAGCAGGGCAGGGCTTGGTTAGTACTGTGATCGCTGGGTTGCAACCACGTGACCAAAAGAGGGCGTGGCAAGGGGCCGTAGGACAGGAAGTGATTTTATCCTATTAGTTAGAATGGGCGATGCGGGAAAACGCACACATAGGAGCTTTTTGCAGCTTAGTTTCACTCTTATTTTGAGTGAAAACTATTTTGAATGCAGCGTACAGCGTGTGCAGTTTTAATGAGTCCATTTTTTTCTACAATGAGGAGGATTAAGCGACGACAGTTGAGCTCATCACTCTGGGATCAACAGAACCACGTCCAAGATAATGCAATAAATAGGGCACAAATGTTACTTTTAACAACATTTGATGCAAACAATGTGACCCTTTATTGACATTTCAGTGATTTGCTGAGCTGTAAATGATAAAAAGTTTGGCTTTGGACATTACCCTGGTATTTGCAGTCCCAGACCCTAGTCCTAACAGTCCCAGACCCTGGTCCTTACAGTCCAAGACCCTTGTCCTTACAGTCTCAGACCCTGGTCCTACCTGTCCCAGTCACAGAAATAACGATGAACAATCAGTCTTACAACACAGAGACTAGATTTTATGTGAGGAGACTTGATTGTACAGCCTGCTTTTAGTTTTTTATAAGAACAACTTGGTTTCAAACAACATTTGGCCTTATTCCACACAAAAATACTGCGTTGTATGTATGAAAGTCAGCAAAGTGAAGACTGCGGACTGTCAACAGTGTTTGTGGCCGCAGATGCTAGGCAGGCGGCTAATGCTAACGCATTTATTCCATTCCTTTTTAGGCATATTCCTAAAAATCGACATCCATTAGAGTAGTTGACACGTGCAGTTGACACAACTGCACACGCCACAGGAAAAGAGGATCTTCACTTGGAATTGAAGGACTTTCACGCCGCTGCCTTACGTCAGCTGCAACCCAGCAATGGACCTCTGGGAACAACAGGTGCCGCAGTGGGGCGGCTGTAAAGTGCCTAACAGTGGTTGTGTCCTTAGGCAAGACACTTTAGAGCAGGGGTCTCCAACCTTTTTCAATCAGAGAGCTACTTTTGTTCAAAAGAAGAGGCAGAGAGCTACTACTTTTTGCAGTTGTACTAAAAATCGATCTAATAATAACAACAAAACATGGAGAACACATGTAATTATACTATTATACTGTATAAGCCTATATCAACTCTTATAATAGATATGTAATGGCTCAAAATGTATTCATTCAAGATCATGTGTTAAATTCTAAATCCTTTGGCGAGCTACCTGAAAGGGGCTGGTGAGCTACTGGTAGCTCCCGAGCCACGGGTTGGAGACCGAGGCTTTAGAGCCTATTGTGTGTGAATGGTTGGGGGTGGTGATGGCAGAGGCCGATGGCACATACTGGTTGCCTCACTTCTGTCAGTGTGCCCCAGGGCAGCTGTGGCTACAGTAATAATTTTTCACCACTGTGATTGAAGTGATAAAACAAAGCTGTGAAGGGACTGTGAGCCTACGGTGAAGCTGATTAACACCAGAGACCGTTTCAGACAGAATTTAAAACACATAATTATTTGTGTATTTATTCTATGACGCTGGACAAAACCCTGTAACAGCCTCACCTCCTGGCTCTGGTCCAACTGCTCATCAATAATTCTCTGTCCTTGTGTGTGTGTGTGTGTGTGTATGTGTTATGCCTGTGTGTAAATATGTGTGTGTTTGTGCCTGTGCCTGTATGTATAGCAGTGTGGGTATACTGTATATATATATATATATATATATATATATATATATGTGTGTGTGTGTGTTTGGCTGCATTTGTATGTGTATTTGTGTATGTGTGTGTTATGTTTATATGTGTGTATATGTGTACGTCTGTAAGTGTATGCGTGTGTTAGGAGTAGCCTCAGCAGTGTGTGTATTTTGTGTATACTGTATATGTGTGTGTGTGTCAACGTGTGTTTGTGTGTCTGTATATCTTCGTGTACCTGTGAGTGTTAGCAGTAGCCTAAGCAGTGTGAGTGTCTGTGTATGTGCTTAAATGTGTGTATGTGTGTATGCGTGTGTGTGTGTGTGTGTGTGTATGTATATACGAGTGTATATATAAATGTGTGTGTGTGCAGTAGCCTGCGCAGTGAGAATGTGTATATCTGTATGTGTGTGTATGTGTGTGTATGTGTGTATATGTGTGTTGTAGCCTGAGCAGCTGGTGGGAGCAGGCCTCAGGGGGATGGTCAGTGTTGCGGTTCGCGCAGGGGAAGGTCACACGGCTCCAAACGTCCACAAACCGACAGAACCATGTATTTCAGATTAACAGGGATTATTTAGGATTATCTTTTAATATCATTATAAACATTGAGATTAACTATTAAGACTTAATGAGCCCATTGTAGACCCAGGAGCAGGGACATCCCCCCTTTCCTTCTGTCTGAATGCTCTGTCTTCAAACTCTTTGCACTGTGTTGAACCCTTTAGAGCCATAGAGCAAGTAATAAGAGTCAATCCCATTTGTGTTTCGCCCTAAATCAGGCGGTAGATCCAGGACTGAGGCTGTCGATCCAGGACTGAGGCTGTAGATCCAGGACTGAGGCTGTCGATCCAGGACTGAGGCTGTAGATCCAGGACTGAGGCTGTAGATCCAGGGCTGAGGCTGTAGATCCAGGACTGAGACTGTAGATCCAGGACTGAGGCTGTAGATCCAGGACTGAGGCTGTATATCCAGGACTGAGGCTGTCGATCCAGGACTGAGGCTGTAGATCCAGGGCTGAGGCTGTAGATCCAGGACTGAGGCTGTAGATCCAGGACTGAGGCTGTAGATCCAGGACTGAGGCTGTAGATCCAGGACTGAGACTGTAGATCCAGGACTGAGGCTGTAGATCCAGGACTGAGGCTGTAGATCCAGGGCTGAGGCTGTAGATCTAGGACTGAGGCGGCTCCCAGGCGGGGAAGGGGACTTACTGAGTGTGACATCAGCCTCGCCTTAATATGGGACCGATTTTGAAGCTAGCTGCAATCTCCGCAAATGGGAATTTCTTCCACAGCGTTAGCTTTGTGCTGTAACTGAGACAGACATGTTTCTTTCCCACTGAAATAAGGGCCCTGATTGGTCAATCCTTGTATAGCTCATATCTGGATTTTCAAAGACAATATCACAATATAAACACCAGGATCACAGAGAGCGATAAACCACAGATTTAAGTCCAAAATGTTGAGTGCTATCATGAGGGACCACTGTACTCAACAAATATTGTAAACAGGATATTATTTCTGTAGGGCGATATGAATAAAGATTACTTACTTTATTCTTTCAATTTCCGTGTGGCTAAAAGAGACAAACGTCCCACTTTCTCTCCCCTATCCGCCGCCTTTCTGCTCGCTCTCCCTCATCAGTATGCACTCTCTCTCTCCCTCTATCCTTTGCCTGTTTGCTTGCTCGCCCTCATCAGAATGCACTCTCTCTCTCCCCCTATGTGCTGCCTGTTTGCTTGCTCGCCCACACTCTCTTTTGGTCTAAATGAAGACGAATGCTGCTGTTTCTGCTCCACATGGTGTGGCGTCAGTAAATGTTTGAGTGAATGAAGTCAAAATGCTGTGAAACGTTGCCTGGTGGTGGCGCTGTGACGGACTGGGATCACGGCCAGACTTGTAAACAGACATAAGGAGATTAAATGTAATAGCATCTCTCTTTCCTCGTCTCTCTCTGGTCTCTCTCTGTGGCCTCTCTCTGGTCTCTCTGGCCTTTCTCTGATCTCTCTCTCTCTCTGGTCACTCTGGTCTCTCTCTGGTCTCTCTCTGGTCTCTATCTGGTCTCTCTCTGGTCTCTATCTTGTCTCTCTGTGGCCTCTCCTTGGTCTCTATCTGGTCTCTCTGTGGTCTCTCTCTGGTCTCTCTCTGGTCTCCCTCTGGTCTCTCTCTAGTCTCTCTCTGGTCTCTATCTGGTCTCTCTGTGGCCTCTCTCTGGTCTCTCTGTGGTCTCTCTCATTGATCTCCCTCATTGGCCTCTCTGTTGTCTCTTTCTGGCCTCTCTCTGGTCCCTCTCTGACCTGTTTCAGTCTCGGCTTCTTTCTCTCCTATGAGCTTGTTCTGTACTCTTTTATAGTTATATGAAAAGTTTGATTGTATTGAGTTTGGAAGGAGGGGCTCATAACCTTCTTGCTTTAGCCCAGTCCTTTTGAGCAGAATTAATTCTGTTCAAATAAATAAATAAATAAATAATCTTTGAGAGCTGTAACTGCAGCGGACAGCTCTTATCGATGTGGAGGCTCCTCTATCCTGACCTTTCCTCTGAGCGCTCTGGCCTTTTCCGCGCTCTCGTTTGTCAAACAGGAAACACCTCAGCGCTCAGGAAGCGAGAGCGCCGCCGTGAGAGCGCCATGGTGATGGACGGGCGCCACAGGCCACGTGACTCAGAGCCGTCAGAGCCCTGAGCTGATGTCTGCGGGTTCAGAGGCGTTAGTGGAGGAGACTAATTTAGAAGTGTTCAGAACTGACTATGTTTCTGATTCTGCTTCAGTCTCTGTCTCAGTCTCTGCCTCAGTCTCTGCTTCAGTCTCTGCTTCAGTCTCTGCCTCAGTCTCTGCTTCAGTCTCTGCCTCAGTCTCTGTCTCAGTCTCTGCCTCAGTCTCTGTCTCAGTCTCTGTCTCAGTCTCAGTCTCTGTCTCAGTCTCTGTCTCAGTCTCGGTCTCAGTCTCTGTCTCAGTCTCGGTCTCAGTCTCGGTCTCAGTCTCTGCTTCAGTCTCGGTCTCTTGTTTCTGTGTGTGAGGGTTTTGTGGATGGATGTCTTCAGCTCAGAGGCGTTTCCTTCTGTGATCAATGACTCCTGTGTGTTTAGCAGATTTAGACATCAGTAAGAGAAAGAGAGAGGCTCTCTGGTCTCTGAAGGGAGAGAGACCAGAGAGAGAGAGACTGCATAGAGACAGGAGCCAGAGAGCGAGTGTGACCAGAGAGAGCTAACAAAGAGAGAGACCCGAGAGAATCTAAAGACCAGTGGAAAAAGGAAAAGTCCTGTTGTTTACCAGATTCTTATTTGACAGAGAGAGAGATTTACAAAGCTCCATATTATTCTGACGTCTGAAAGTCCTCTGTGTCAAGTTTGGGGTGCGTGTCTGTTAGTTTGGACGAAGCTAAAAACAACTTCAGGTCAGATTTGGAAGAGAAACAATGTTGTAACAGGTTAAAGCTTCTGTAATCTCTAACTTCTCTTCCTCCACACTTACAGCCGCGATGGTCCTCCTTCCTCTTCTTTTTTTGTCTCATTTACATATTAATAACATATTTGGATTTGTGTGTGTCTGCGTGTGTGTGTTTGTGTCTGTGTGTGTGTGTTTGTGTTTTACGCCTGTTAATTCTGACCAAGGACAAAGCAAAAATAAAAGAGAAAAAACCACAAACAGCGGAATTCAACTCCCCAAACGCACACACACGGACAGAGACACACACACATAGACACACACAGACACAATCACGTGCACTCACACATACAGACACAGAGACACACACACACACAACACAGACACACACACTCACAGTCCGCAGCTCCGACTCGGCTAATTATGCTAATTGCGGACGCGGCTGTTTTATTTATGCGGCTGAAGATAAACAAAAGGCGGAAATGACTTTGGACGCCACTGTAGCGCGCATGCTAACGAGCTAACTCACCACCGCAGGTAATTGGCATTTTGATTGTGCTTTTATTTATTTCATTGGTGGATTATTGAAGAGCGGGGGGTGAGGAGGGGGTGAGGAGGGGGACGGGGGTAATGGAAAATCTTTGGTTCCATTAAAAGCGCTTTGAGGACAGTGTTGCGTCATATTGAAACGTGATGATGGAGAAACACCGAGAGTTCAGAGAATGTTTGTAGAAGTATTGGTGCTAACATGGTCAGTCCGTTGAGTCCGTCTTATAGACTGTGTAAAGAGGGACAATGCTAACCCTTTAGCTCAATGAAGCCCAATAGGGAAGAGCTCATGGTGAAGTTTGGGTCATCTCTCTGGCTCCTATTGACTTCCATGTAGAAGTAATGTAGCTTAGTAATGTTTGTGTCACACTCACCGCTGTGTTCTTAAATCTGGTTTATCACTCTCTAACCTTGTGTTTTTATTGTCTTTGCAAAACCAGATATGAGTCATATAAGGACTGACCAATCAGTGTCCGTCATTGGCAAGGGAAACTTTTTACTAAAGACAGATCCAGGACATTTCTGGACAGTGGTCATTCAACAGATGCCCGTATAAGGAAACTGGCTTGGCTTCTTCTGCATTAAGGCTAACACTGTGGTGATGTCACAAATGTGAATCTATACATGCAGTAATGGTGAGAAAAAATGTATTCTGATCAGTATCATGATATTTTGTACGCACTTAAATGGATACAGTAGCAAAGTACTGTGATCTCTCTGAGTTTACTCCGGTCATTTACATCTGTGTATTATATCCACGAGATGGCGCTTGTTGCCGTGCTTTGTTTTCCTGCATTCATTCAACTGTTCAACATAATTATGAACGATGTCTTGTCCTGTAATAAGGTCCTGTGTTTGCTAAAGCAGACCATAATAAATGTCATGTTTGACTTTCCTCCATGTCGCAATCGCAATATCTCACAGAATCACATCACAACAATATTGATTGTGGCCAAGATATTGCATACTGTCTACTCCACACATTGACACTTCCCACCTCTAGTATGCAGACTTCTCATACTTCAATCTCAGAACTGTTTTTGTTGTCGGCCCCTGGACCTCCTGGCTAAAAGTCTGGGCGCCCTTGGCCTGGATTCTGACTCTCAGCTTCAGTTAAATCTGCTGAAGTATTCCTCGACAGCAGTGAGTAAATCAGTGCTCAGTCGTGTTTCTCCTGAGGCTTCACCTCCGCAGCAGAATCAGTCTGAACAGTCACAACAGCAGTGAGGCTCAGTGAGGGTAGCTCTCTGCTGTAGTTAGCTCTCTGCTGTAGATAGCTCTCTGATTTATGAAGCTCTCTGCTGTAGTTAGCTCTCTGCTGTAGATAGCTCTCTGATTTATGAAGCTCTCTGCTGTAGGTAGCTCTCTGCCATAGAAATCTCTGCTGTAGGTAGCTCTCTACTGTATGAAGCTCTCTGCTGTATGAAGCTCTCTTCTGTAGGTAGCTCTCTGCTGTAGGAAGTTCTCTGCTGTAGATCATTCTCAGCTGTAGCTCTCTGCTGTAGGAAGCTTGCTGGTGTAGTTAGCTCTCTGCTGTTGGTAGCTCTCTGCTGTAGGAAGCTCTCTGCTGTAGGTAGCTCTCTGTGCGTTTGTGGGATTAGGTGGGATGAGGAGATGGAGCAGATTCAGACGCAGCTGCAGTGAAAAATGTGGAACGCTCTACTTTTGTTTGGGGTTTGAGTCGGAGCAGGTCCAAGGTCAGAGCAGAGGAAAACAACAGCTAACAGGGGAATTACTATCTGTGTGTGTGTGTGTGTGTGTGTGTGTGAGAGAGAGAAGTGTGTGTGAGAGGTATGAGTGTGTGTGTGTGTCAATGTGTGTGCTCACAACATGAACACACAGCTTGTGGTCATGTTGTAGACTTGTATTTCAGTATTTCAGAGGGTGCCCAACTCTGTGGTAAATAAATAATGGTCTCTCTCCTTTGTCTCTTTCTGGTCCCTCTCTCTAGTCTCTCTGGTCTCGCTCTGGTCTTTCTCCGGTCTCTTCTGATCTCTCTCTGGTCTCTCTCCCTGGTCTCTCTTACTTGTCCTTCTCGCTATTCTCTCTCTGGTCTCTCTCACTGACCTCTCTCTCTCTCTGGTCTCAAGTGTCCCAGGTCATCCCTATTCTAAAACATTTCTAACTCACATTTCTCTGGTTTCTGTCTTTCAGTCTCTGGATGGATTTGTTTTTGCATTGAACAAAGAGGGGAGGTTCCTGTACATCTCTGAGACCGTGTCTATCTACCTGGGACTGTCACAGGTAAGCCCTCTGCTGGACACACGCTCAACTGCAGGCGGCTTCTGCTGACGAAACACTGTTATGAAGAGAAGCGTCTTTCAAAAGTTACAGCTGTCTGTTTTATCTTTAGCTACAATTGATTGTTTCTCTGGTCTCTCTCTGGTCTCTCGCTCTGCTCTCCCTTTTCCTTCTCTCTCTCCCCAATCATGTGGGAGTCGTCTTCAAGGATAACGTTTTTGCACAACCCTGCGGTGTCTGCTTCAGTTAATGTGCAGACCAAAAAAAACATGTTGAGTCTTATTTTCCTCCATGTTTGTATTGTCTTTGAATAATATGAAGGACATGAATTGCAATATATCTCAGAATCAAACCACGATCCTTGCTGTATGTTAATAATCACATTAATGTTAAATAGTGTCCCAAATATCTATCGAATCATCACATTTGTGCCACTTCCCGCTCAAATCTAACCCACGTCAGGCAGGAAACAACATTTTCCCAAAAAAACTTTGTTGCTACAGTTTTTAATTAAAGTAGAATTAGTCGATCTTTTTGATTTTCCTTTTGCATAAATGTTCTCGAGGAATCCCCCTACGCCACCGTGTTGGATTAGACCCAACACGATCCTTATCAGATAATTGATAGTGTGCGTTTGTTCCGCTGCTCGGAGCAGCTTTTATCACACGCTAGCTACAGAGCGCTGCTAGCACCCGTTAGCCGCAACGCTAATCCAGTGTTACCGCTTTAACCTCCAGATGCTAATTAGCCTTTATCTGCGGAGCTACATGGAAACCCGGCCGCCACGTTTGAGGCTGATGATTGAGGTGATGTGGAGGAGGACATGGGACAAGTATACTTTTTAGACCTGCTTAGACCTGCTTTAGACCTGCTTTAGACCTGCTTTAGTCCTGCTTTAGACCTGCTTTAGACCTGCTTTAGACCTGCTTTAGTCCTTGCTTTAAACAGGTGTTCTGCCGAAAAGTGACGCTCTGCCAAAAAGTGACGCTTATGTAATGCTCAGCTGTTAATGATGTAATGCAAACCTGCGCATGCGCGTCTCACGGCAGCCGAAACAAACCAAGATGGCGGACAGAAAGTCAGAGAATTGCTTTAAAAGTTATAATACGAACGAAATAAGACACGAATGTCACTTTTAATGCAATTTGAGGCGAGATGTTGATGGTTCCGTGTTGGCACATGTGGGTTTTAAGAGTCAAACTTTCGGGTAAAGTTTAGTTTAAGCAGTCAACTCTGCCTGTGAAACCACAAAGCTAATGTTATGATAGCATTCCTCGGCTGCGGACGCAGGCTGATGACGCGTCCTGTGGCAACTCTACAGTTTACTATGTTGATATGGGATTATTAACGATTGTATTGTAATGTATCCATACCGAATAACAAGATTACACATGTTACATTCGATTAATTTTATATTTTTTATGTAGCTACAGAAACACCATCACATTACATATGAACAGAGGACAGTTTAATTATAAATACACATTTCCAACACTACTAATCCCAATAATTTGTGTAGTATACAACCACATGTCACAAGATTGATAGAGGTATATCTTGCTGTCACACTGTTGTGTTCTGAAATGTTGTTACCTCTGACTTTCCAATATTTTGATTTTAGAACCCTTGTTTGAATAGTAATTAAAAATAAATGCATAGATAACCAGGGACTTTGCACCAAAGCCTCAGATGTAGAGCAAAACAAAAATTATGATTCTGAAAAGCACAAGGTAAAACAAAGACCAGAAACCACTGTTGCAACATGGTACATTTTATAAAAATACAAGTACTCTGACATGTGTGGCCAACACTTTTTTCTATTGATTACATTTATTACATGCTACCAAAGGCGCTTTTTTGTTGGTGCAATCAAAATGTGTGAAGTCGCCGCACAATACTGCACCTATCCAAAATAAGTAAACTTTAGTCATTCCAGAAACACATGCTGTAGGGTTATAAGAGGAAAATACCTTTTCATCTCCACTTAAGTGGAAACAACACACACCACAGTAGTCATCTTCACCTACAAATAAACACAATGTTTCAGTCTCAGTTTTGTTGATTAACCCAGGTATAACATTTCAAAAGTAAGGACGATAATAACCTCCTCGCTGAAGCAGCGTACATGCCACTTCCAGACACGCTGCAGCAATAAAGTTGTAGTTTGTGCACACAGCATCCAAATGGCCCTGGAGGAACCATGCCTCGGCAAACTATATATACAAATAATAGTAAATGTCACTATGCCTTCAAAGAAGAATAAATAATTACAGAATCACCTTTAAAATAAAAATGCCACAACTAGAGGTGTCAATTTGTAGCTGGTGCTTGAGCACACTCCCAGTCCATTGACCACTGCCTCTGTTAGCCTGCCTCAGAAACTTCCTAAAGTGAGATGAACAGTTACAAAACAAGTCTCATGATAACTTTTCAGATCGGACAAACCTCCAGTTTTTGAGGATGTTTCTTTTGTAAAGGGCCTCGTTTCCCATGGGGTCAATGAGCAATACTGATTTATCCTCCATGAGGACGACCACTAACACCCAGTGGCCTCCAGTCTTTATGGGGCAGATCCAGTGAGCCTCTTCTGGAAATTTCATCTATAAAAAAGTGGAACCAAAAAGTGTTATTGTCTTTGTAACCATATGGGTATGCAAGGAATATTTGGCCCACGGAAATTGGAACTTCCTTTGTAAGTGGTTTCATATGTCCACGCACAGAGGCTTGTGCCCACAACAGCAGAGAGCTGGTGAACAGGTTTCTGCTGAAACAATGTAAAGGACACATGTCACCTCTACTTTGTTCACCAGCACACGTAGATCGGAATCAATGACCTGCATTAGAGAAAAACATAATAATACCCATCAGGTCAGAACTTTGTACAATTATAACCTTGCTCCACAATGCTGGCTTTTTTTACACATGCGTCATGTGACTGCTGGAGGATGATTATTTAAACAAACTGTTTTATGCAGAAAAACATTTATGGGAACTGAGTGTTAAGATTTAGTAAAGACATGAACATCTGACAATTTAAAAATGTACTTTTTAAATGATAATATGTTTGTGTCTTTCTACTGGCCTTGTTTTGTGGTGGAGGAGCGAACTGAATCACTGAGCCTTGTTGGACACTTTCTTGCCTCTTTATGTTGTGGTTGGTCTTTTTGTCCAATCCATCAGTCTGTGGGTGGTACGCAGCGGTGACGCTTCTCTCAATGCCCAGCAGAGAACACAGAGTAACATTGAGCTGAAACAATGAAAATAAAATGAATAAGAGTATGAACAAGAAGTACACAAACAATATTTACTTCATTTACAAATTCCCGCCCTTGATCAGACAGGATACATTTTGGGCACCCATGGATATTATAAAGCAAAGTCTTTGCCCAACCTCCACAGCCGTCTTAGTTTTTAAATGGGAAAGCCTCTACCTACTTTGAAAAATAATCCGTGGCTGTAAATATGTACTGATAGCCATCAGTAGTTTTGGGGAAGGGCCCCAACAGCTCCCAAACAGCAGACACCTAACAAGCAAACAGGATTTGAATGCATTAATGTACACTGCTGGTTGGATAGGAACAATAAATACAATTACTTTTATTGTTTGGAGTGGTGCAACTGAACCCAGAGACTTTCCCTCACGTTGACATTGGTCACACTCATAAATCTTAAAAAGAACAGACAGGGAAGGGAATTGTACAGACAAATAAAAGGAAAAAACATACCATATTGTCAATCATCAGTCCTGCCACGCCAGTAAAACCTGGAACAAATGGCAGGTTTTTTTCACGCCAGTGTGGCCTCCCGTGGGTGTAGCATGACACTTTTTTAAATAGTTTCTGTGCCTCGTGTCTTGTTTTAATGGCTCTTCTTTTGTCATGGAACAGCTCACCATCTATAACAACTGAATTATAATAAAACAACAGAAGAACAATAAGACATGTATAACCATAATAGCAAATGCATTATTACCCTTTGCAGTAAATTTATGGGAGTACTTCCTCAAGTTCTGTCTGTCTGAAATGTATTCATTCCCTCAGGATAAATCTTCTCTGTGAGGAGAAGAAACATTTCATCCCATTTATCCTCCATTATGATTATGAAAGACAAAATCTTGGTCAGGTGGACAGGCAAGGGTCAAAAAACGGTGTATCAATCAGTGTGGCATGCAAATCAGAGGGGAGGAGACAGAGATTGTGGTCAGGTGGAAATGCAGGAGTCAAAAAACAGTATCAATCAAAAGCAGATGTGAAAACGGGGAAGTGGATAATAATTAAAAGCTGATCAAACATCCACACAAAAATATCTAATTTAAAAAAGATGGAAATCTTTGACTTTGTATTAATATTGACTTCCTTTCACCATTAGATATCAAGAGATAAGATACTATGGAAGAGGATTAGTGATGAGGCTACATCCATGTGAAACAACACACATAAATGAAACGTAATTTATCTTTTTTACTAGTGTGAGATTTCATAACACTTTTAAGTAACTGTTGTTAAAGTTAAACTCATCATTCTATCAATGTGCAGAAGCCTGTACTTTTCCACTACTTGTTTTGACTATCTCTGCTGTCTCTACCATCGACAATAAAGCATGTCTTCTGTCTGAATGAAAGACGCGATCCCAGACTTTGTCATCTTCTTCACGAGTACATAATGTTACCATCTCTCCACGAGCAAATATTAGAAAATCAATACATTTCGGGAGGGATTATGACCGCGTATTCATTCATACGTTTGCGTGTACGTAAAATGTATCCCCATAATGTAATTTCGAACCCAGGAGTATGGTACAAAGTTGAAAAAGTAATATAATATTCTGTATAGGATTTGGTAGAGTCAGTGAGGTCAGTGAAGTCAACGCGCTCGGTTGCAAACTTTATAATACGTTATACTAATACAAATATATGCCCTTTGTAACGGAGAGCCATACTCACGTGAGTTTTCAGCTTCGGTGAAGAGAAAACAAAGCTGTAGAGTTGCTACACGGAACCATCAACATCTCGCCTCAAATTGCATTAAAAGTGACATTCGTGTCTTATTTCGTTCGTATTATAACTTTTAAAGCAATTCTCCGACTTTCTGTCCGCCATCTTGGTTTGTTTCGGCTGCCGTGAGACGCGCATGCGCACAGGTTTGCATTACATCATTAACAGCTGAGCATTACATAAGCGTCACTTTTTGCCAGAGCGTCACTTTTCGGCAGAACACCGGCTTAGACCTAGTTTAGACCTGCTTTAGACCTTTAGTCCTTGCTTTAGACCTGCTTTAGTCCTGCTTTAGATTTGCTTTAGACCTGCTTTAGACCTATTTTAGACCTGCTTTAGTCCCACTTTAGACTTGCTTTAGACCTGCTTTAGACCTACTTTAGACCTGCTTTAGTCCCGCTTTAGACTTGCTTTAGACCTGCTTTAGACCTACTTTAGACCTGCTTTAGTCCCGCTTAAGACTTGCTTTAGACCTGCTTCTTTTATGATCTTTAATCACCTTTTTTTAGCTGTGGACAGGTCGCTTGTTGTGGAGGAGGTTAGACTGGATTTATGAGATTTCCACAAACCAAAGACTGAGCGATAATTAAAATCTTTATGATCAGAATCTTAATCTTGTTTTTATAAATGTTGAACCATAAAAACGTCAAAGGACGATGAATGCAGCAAACACAGTCAGAAGCATTAGTTTTCAGGAGGAGGAGGAGTGTGGGTTAAAGCTCTGTGTGAAAGTGACTTATCAGAATGAGGCAGGGTAAGATTTAGAAAACACACGCTAACACACGCTAACTCTGCTCGGTGTAAACTGGGGTGTGCTGTTTATTTTATTTTTGTTGGTTTCTCTCTCCTTCAGACCTTTGTAAACCTGCTTTATAACACATCTACTCCAATTTTTTACTGATCCCAGGTTTTGAATGTACCAATAATAGACCTGGTTTAGACATGATTTAGACCTGGTTTAGACCTGGTTTAGACCTGGTTTAGACCTGATTTAGACCTGGGTTAGACCTGGTTTAGACCTGATTTAGACCTGGTTTAGACCTGTTTTAGATCTGGGTTAGAAATGGTTTGGACCTGGTTTTAGACCAGCACCTGTAAGCAACTGTTTTTATATTGTTCTACCAACAACTCATTCCAATATATATTTCCCCTTTCTTTCCGTCATGTCAATAGATTCACACACTGGAACACACACAACACACACTGAAACACACATAACACACACTGGAACACACACATAACTCGCCTTGATCCGTTCCTCATATATCGTTCTGTTCAAAGGTTTTTAATCAGTGGTTTTTCCGCAGGAGCCGCAGACGTCGCACGTTTAGAAAAATGTTTTTTTGTCGTCTTGCGGTCGATGAGGTTTTAATGGAACCAGGCGTCAGAACGCCTCATGTTTGTAAAGCGGAGTCAGAACACTGAGAAGGTGATTAGAGGCCCAGGACCAGGAGAGAGATTATGGAGCCACCATGTGTATTGCATGGTGAAAGAACGTCTTAAAGCTGGGTAATATAACTGCTAGTCTAACATGACAGATGTCTATATTTAAGGTCAGAAGAAAACCTTTGTGACTTGTGTGCACCAATATGTGTAGTTCAGAGGACTCTCTCTCTTTGGTCTGTCTCCGGTCTCTCTCTGGTCTCTCTCTGGTCTCTCTCTGTCCCAGTAAATATGCCTCTAATCATCCACACACTATTTAAAAGATGGAAGAAGTCTGGATCCTAAAACTTTCTCTCTTGTCATTGGCACTGAATATAATCTCTTTGAAGCAAGATTAGACACCAGCAGAAATAGTGGGGTCCTTTTGATCCGAGTTCGTTGGCATCAGTTTTACATCCTGATTAGAAAAGAGCGTCTGAATCCAAATCGTCGGCTTCAGGTGTGACCCAAATGACCGGTACTCAAGTATCAGCTTTCTCTGCTCCAGCCACACTGAGTTTGTACCAGGAATCTATGGCTTTGTGTGTATGAATGTTGTAACCACTTATAGGCATCTTTGTGCGGAAATAATGAGACTAGAAAGACCAGAGAGTGACCAGAGAGCAACCAAAAGAGAGAGACCAGAGAGCTCTAAACCTGCGTCTCTTTTATCATAAACAAATTCTAATCCCTGTGACATACATGACACAGTCCTCTTCCTGGGACTTTCCTCGGATCTGAGAAACCTCCAAACAAACTGTGATAATTCTGCTGAAATAAATTGGATTATTATAAAACCATCAGTTTCCCTGGTGCTGTTAATTACACTCAGCTTTTATCTTTCTCTGTGTTATCTGCGGTTTAGGAGATTACAGTTATCTGTTATTAGCTCAACCCAAACTTTTGCATTAATTCATTATAATTCATTCCAGATGAGACTTTGACAGAAGAGAAAAGGACCATTAGGTTTAAAAGGTTTAACACAAGAAGCTCCCATTCAAACCAGCAGAGTTCTGAGAAACTGCCTCAAAAGGTTTTCACCAATTTTATTAAAAGTCATTAATTTATTAGGTTTTTAACTCACTTTTATTAATTGCTAAAGCTCCTGAAATACAGTAACTATAATGCAAAGGAACAAATGCTAATGGCTGATAGCTAACAGTACGTTGCTATGGTAACTATAGCACTTGAACCGTAACCAGTTTAAGGTAGAGCTACTCAAATGTCATAAATAAAAGATCATTTCAGAAAAAAACGACAAAAACGACACAGAGAAAACCAAGCATGAGCTGAGTCCTCAGACGTTCCAAATGTGAAAGCCAAGGAGATTTTTTTTCTGCGCAGACCTCTCTCTTCTGTAAGAAGCCAAGGTCTAGAAGGAAAAACTGTATTTCTTTTTTCTCTTGGGCCGAGGACTTAAGGCAAAATCAAATCTTCAGAGTTTAAAGACACCACTTATCAGCTACACAGTCATTTGTGACCAAGAAATGTTTTATTCTAATCCAAAAAGGAGAGATAATGCTGCTTTAGTCACATAGTAGTAGATTAAGTTGTAGTATTATTAGCACTAGTAGTAGCAGCAGTAGCAGTTGCAGTAGTGGTAGTAGTAGTAGTAGTAGTAAGTAGTAGTCCCAAGTTTCTACTCTAGTCTCTGCTTCAGTCTCTGCTTCAGTCTCTACCTCTGTCTCTGCTTCAGTCTCTGCTTCAGTCTCTACCTCTGTCTCTGCTTCAGTCTCTGCTTCAGTCTCTACCTCTGTCTCTGCTTCAGTCTCTACCTCTGTCTCTGCTTCAGTCTCTACCTCTGTCTCTGCCTCAGTTTCTGCTTCAGTCTCTGCTTCAGTCTCTGCTTCAGTCTCTGCTTCAGTCTCTGCTTCAGTCTCTGCTTCAGTCTCTGCTTCAGTCTCTGCTTCAACCTCTGCTTCAGTGTCTGCCTCAGTCTCTGCCTCAGTCTCTGCTTCAGTCTCTGCTTCAGTGTCTGCCACAGTCTTTCATAGATGATATCTCTGTCAGAAGTGATTGATGGTTGAAGGGGAGGCTCCCCCTCAGAGTCAGAGTGACAGATGACGACAGCTTCCTCCTTCTAAAGAAACGTAACATAAACTCACATCATCATTATGGATAATCCCCAAAGTCCTGGTTCAGAGCTGGAAAGCGGACTTTACAAATGACCCCACGCGTTTTACAAATGAGGCTAATTATCAACGCTAACGACGTCTTCAGCGGGACAAGATAAAACACACAGAAACCAGGGTCTATAGTTAGACTTAAAGCAGGGGGACGTTATTTTAAAACCTCAGTGATAGAACTTTGCAATTATGTCTCTAG